TCACAACAGGTCGAATGAAGAAGACATCTGGAGGTTAGTTTCTTTGCTGTTCATATGAAATGGATACGAAGTGAGTCTGAGGCTTCGGGTGTGGTTGCATACTGACATACCAGTACATCTATTCACTTTAGCAAAGAACAGAAATGGAAGCATCACTTCCTTTCAGGAAAGATTATGAATGGAATTGATTTATTTTTTTCACTTCAGGTTGCTTAACGTTTGCATTATAAGAATTTCATTGATTTAGAAGAGAGTGAATTTGTAAGTACAATTATAAACTAATGAAACTAACAGCTATCAGTATATCAAATGTAGGCCTATTTAAATTATACATGTACTCTCTACAAACAGCTGAAATCACAGGAATATTTGGTTATAGTTAGACAATATATTTTTATTTAGATATATATTGGCAGATTGCTTGATATAGATATAGTATATAAGATTGATACATCAATTCTTTCATAAATCTCTTTAATCTCTCTATATATTATTCGCTCCCCTAATCCACTGGTTGCTGCTGAAGGGGGCTTAGGCGACAGAGACTTGGCCCCAAGGTGGGGATTGCTCCTACCTTGGGCCCCTGACCTCGACTAAACTAACTGCATGGCATTTTCTTCTCCCCCTTTCCTTTTCCTTCTCTTCTTTCCCTTCCTTTGTCCACTTCTTAAGGTGTGAGAGCCATGCTGAAAGGACGAAAGACAGGCTTTGTGTCATTCATGAATGGTCTCCAGGATCCATGGGCACAGTATGCCCTTATCCCTTATGGGGACCCAAAGGGGAAGGACATTTCTTTTCCCTTTATTTCAGGCCCACCATGGTCACTAAGGAAGATTTTTAAAACTCTAATTAAGGGTATTACGCCTTGATCCTTTCTCAAATGCCCGATTAAATTTTATTTCATTGGTTTTCTGACCCCATTTCTCCTTTGACCATGGCTCCAACCACTGATACTATACCCCCTCCTCAATGTCTACTGACAATTATATCCATTCCAAACCACCAACCCCGGTCATTACTCAACCCACAGAAAGTACCCCTGCCTCTCTCTCAACATTATCCACTCCATCTCCTACTGAACAGTCATTTTCATTGTCTACCCCCTCCCCCTAATTACTATTTCATCCCACAGTACTACCTCACTCCACACCATCCCATCTTCCTCCTGCTCTTACTGTTTCCCTCTCTGCAACCTTTTGAAACCTCTCTATGGCCCAGCCAAGGAGGATAAATTTTTTATGGTTCCTCCTGTAGCCCCTTACTCTGACGGTACCATTCTCTTTCAAAAATGTCTCCAAAAACAAGTTGACAAAATTTCCTTTGCCAGTCACTATGATCGTATACGCCTTGCCACAGTTGCATCTGAGTACCAAGCTCATGCACTATCTACCCTGAATGACCCCACTGGTATACCCATTCCTGCCAAACGTCACTCATCTCTTCATACCTGAACTGGAAGTGTTTTTGTCTCCCTGATTGATTGTCCTTTCTATGATAAGAACTGGTCGGACTGTGAAAATGACTAGCCTACTTTGTTGACTATGATATAGTGGCAGTACAGTGCTACACTGTCTTACACCAATATTGCCAAGATTAGCTTCCATACGCATGTCCTCCCACGTGAATTAGCCTCTCCGACTATATGGGCCCCTTTCTTGCCACGCAGCCAAACACTGTCGCTCCTTAGCCCACTTCCTTCTATTTGCCCATTCTGGTCATGACTGTTCAAATTGTCCTGCTCAATCATGTATGTGTGCCAACTGTGGTAGCTCCCATAATGTAATTTTTAGGATCTGCTTTGCCTATAAGCTGAGGTAGCAGCTCTCAGGTTCAAACTAGGCCTCACTCTCCATGGGGCTTGACAGGAAGTATAGCAACAAGGTTTTTCTCTTTCTACCTCTTCCAAAACTGTACCTATATCTCTTCCCTCTACCCTGACACATCCTACCTTTACTTCCCCTCTCCCCAATTTCATTTTCCAGTCTGAATCCAGATACACCAATATCTACTGCTTTTCCGATGCCTACCCCTCCTGCTCTCTTTTCCTGTCGCACCAGGCAACCTAAACATTTTACTCCATCTTTGCCTACTACATCCTCTCCTTCATCCTCCTATTCCTCCAATCCTTGAACATCTACCCCCTCCTTTCATTCTCACAAGAGAACCTTTTGTTTCTCAGACCTCCCTCCTAACTCCCCTCCAGAAACTCTTGAAGTTATCCAAAATTCCTAGACACGACCTGAGAAAATGTTCTGCTCCCTCATCCACCCTCCAATCCCTCTGTTCCTAGACCCTCTTCAAAGTACTTGCCAATATCCATCCTTCCCCCGTTAAGTTCCCCTACCCTTCTTCCTCCCACACTTTCCCTACACACCCCATCCTCTCTTTCTCTATATGCAGTATTCCCTCTTTGTTCCCTATTATCCCTATCCCTCCACCTGGATACTCAAGTGAATCCCTTCTGCCACAACAGTGCCCTCCGGGTCTCAGCCCTCCTTGC